CAGGAGAGAACCAACAAACAACTCTACTCGGATCGAACACGGGTCGCATTGGTGATAGGCGAGCGCTGAATGAGCTAGTTTGTTGTTTGATTGGTTGATGGGATGCCAGTTGAATGGGCGGGTGGGTGAGTGACGTGTCTACAGGGGAGTATAGGTAAATGGGCTGATCGGTTGCTTGTTTGTCCGTAGAATGGTTAGTTTGTTGTGTGTTCATGATGGATTGGTTGTGTGGGTAGATGAGTGTATGGATACTTAGGTAAAAAGTTCAATAGTCTGGTCGTTTAATTAGTCGTACGGTCGATTGGGGTTGTATTAGTCGGCCGTTTGGTTGGCTAGTGAACAGTACTCACACTAGGTTCCATCCATATGAGATCAGTTTCTGCCAGGCTGTTGGCTGTGACCGGTGTACTTGTCGCAATCTTAAACTGACATAAGCTAAAGTTAGCTCCACCACTCGTTACAGGTGCCTGAATTCCTGGGGGTCCCTGTGATCCCTGTGATCCCGGTGGACCTTGCGACCCTGGAGGACCAATTGGCCCTTCTTGCTTACTGACGTTTAAAATCTAGTAAAATAAAAACACACATTAAATTCAGGTATTTATCCCAAACCGTAGAAAATACAGCCAATCAGAATTCAGGAAAGCGGTATTCCATTCTTCCTTTCCATCATGCGCTACGCATTGAATCTACGCATTTGTATTTTCTATATAAGTTTCATGGGATGAAATATAGAAAGGAAGTGTGGGTATACAAAAAATATACAAGTGTCAAGCGGGACATTCCATGGGGTGTCACGAGTATATATAACATTTTATAGGCTGTTTGGAAATACAAATTAAAGCTCAAAACCTTACATGATACTACTTTGGATTTCAGTCAGTTGTCCCCGACCATTTACAATCAATAGAGGCTTTGCACCATCACGTGCCCTCGCCCATAATACAGCTTGGACTACCTGTGATTAGATGGCAGAACAATAAAATCCCTTTGCTCTGGAGAATTGAATTCTTTCTCATGTAAAACAATTGTGTCGTCTTGTTCCTGCCATCTAACATGGCTGCCGTCACGTGATGGTGCAAAGCCTCTATACCATATAAAGATGATTACCTGGTTAGAGATAAAGTTATAGTGTAATCGAGCTTGTAACCAATGTTTGGCTAAGTTTCAATATTTTTTCTTGCTTATATATATTGTATTCAAATCTGGTTCTAAAAAAATGTCGTTGTTGTTGTGCGAGGAGAAAAAGAATTAACCCAAGAATCGAATAATTTAGTTAATGATTGAAAATGGTTTATATAGCGTTCTTTTCTACGTAAATACTCACAGGTGCTGACACGTGTTTGGTGTGCATAAGGTGTAATTGACAAGCCACGTCGTCCAATCTTTGCTTGTGTTCAGTTTCCCATGGGTCTTTCTGATCTCAGTATTTCTTATACAAAATATTTTTCATATGTTTTCGTACCTGATCGGTAAGAGAGGTGTTGATATGCATTATGGTATTGTACAAAGTCTGGTCCGTTGATCCCATTTCAAATGTCGTTATATTCAGCTACAAAAGAATAAAAGTTTGATAGGCTATATATTAAAAAGGATTTTATACAGATAAATAAACTTTCATATCTTATATTTTTCGTTGTTCATATGTTATTACACCAATAGGTTCAGGTCAAACGTCGAACTTCACATGAGCCGAACCTAATTACGTCAAAAATTACCGCCTTGATATTTATTGTTTTAATTATGTTCGGCTCATGTTAAGTTTGACGTTTGACCTGAACTGTTGTATCTTATTCTTTAAAGCGTTTCCACGTGACATCGCAGCGGCCATATTGGTATACCAAAACAATACATTTTCCAACCTCGGGGAATTGAACTCTATCTTATGCAAAAAAACTATGCAGAAAGTTTCTATCGTTTGGTACACCAATATGGCTGCCTTGTCACGTGAGTGAAAACGCTCTATTCGGTATCTGATGATGTTCTGAATACCAGTATACCTTGTTTTTGAGGTTGATGATATCTTTAGTTGCTTGAAGACAACAATCCTTTGACGATGTGTTGGTCAAAGCCATCTGATTTAGTTCTACCTGTAGATGTGATAGAGAATTCGAAGCAGCCAGGATTGTTATTATCTCGGTATTCACTTTCTTCAATTGGCCATTCCAAGGTCGAGGAAAAAGCAGGGCGAATTGSTGTCTCTTTCGTCCCCTAAAACCGCTCCAAAATGCATTGCAATGGCAACTCGACCGAGTTTTTTTCTTAACCTAAGAAAAGCTAATATCCACTGTATTCAGCATGATTTGACAAGTGAACAGCTAGTAGGTACTTGCTGTCATTCCGCGTATTTGAATTATGATAATAAATAGACGTGATTTCACACAGAAATTCCGGGTATAAGCTAACACCCCCCCCCCCTCCTTTAGCATATAACCCCACTTTCTCAGTGTGAAAGTGAGACCCCCAATGTTATAAGCTCCCTCATTTGATGGAGTTCCGCCGTGCAGCCCCGTGACAAGTGACAAGTGGGATATTCCACTGGTGTCACGAGTAAATATAACATTTTATAGGCTGTTTGGAAAAAAACTAATTTGACGAATAGTAATGATAAAAAGGTAAATTATACACCGTGAAAAGATAAAAAAAACTTACTGATGTTTCGGACGCTAGTCCTTCGTCGGAGTAAAAGAGAAAGAGGTGGTAGAAAGGAGTGTTTATATAATAGAATAAGACAAAAGAAACCAATGAGAACAAGGTAGGCAAGGAAACAAAAACAAAGAACCAAAAGACAAAAGAAAGGGTTAGTTGAAAGCAAAGCGTTCATTAATCCCGTTTGGACTAAGAGTGCACAATAGGTGAATAAGCCGCATTTCTTTGGTCTTGCGACAATCACTGTTGCCGTTAATCAAAGAAAGATCGAAAACAATGAAGTCAGAAAGAGAATGGTTGGACGGTATACTGACGGTATATATTCTTAAACTGTTGTATCTTATCCGCCTTTTCACGTGATGTCACAGCGGCAATGTTGGTATTCTAACCTCGGGGAAGGTTTCTATTGTTTGGTGCAGCAATATGGCTGCCTTGTCACGTGAGACGCTCTATTCGGTATCTGATGATGTTTTGATCAATGCCAGCATACCTTGTTTTTGAGGTTGATGATATCTTTAGTTGCTTGAAGGCAGCAATCCTTTGTTGATGTGTTGGTCAAAGCCATCTGATTTAGTTCTACCTGTAGATGTGACAGAGAATTCGAAGCAGCCAGGATTGTTATTTATTATCTCGGTATTCACTTTCTTCTATTAGTTATCCCAAAGTCGAGGAAAAAACTGGGACGAATTAATTGGCATTGCAGTGCATTGTGGGGTTATGTTATAGGACATATTTCCAAGATGGCGTCTATCGTGTTCCCTAAAATGTCCCAAAATGCATTGCAATGCTAACTCGACCCAGTTTTTTCCTTAAACTCGGAATGGCGAATATCCACTGTATTCAGCATGATTTGACAAGTGAACAGGCTAGTTATAGGTACTTGCTGTCATTGCGCATGTTTAAATTATGGGCCATCCTAGATATGATATAAACCACTCCGGTCATAAGTTCATTAAAAGACCCCTATAAAAGTTATATGATCGAGGCCAGGCCTTATGACCGGGATTCTACGGCAGTAACGTAAATACATTTGTTTTGATAGTAAACGTTTTCACCTGTTGTTTCAGGGCGTGAAACTCTTTTTCCAGTTTGTCATACTTTTGCTGCAATGATTGAGTMTGCAATCAAAAACAAACAAACAAAGGTGAATACATGCACCTGAAACAACCCAATATGTGGACCTTCATTACGCGGCAGTCATGTTAATACCCATGAGAATTCCAAAAAAGAAAAGTACAAGTTTTTATAATTAACTCATCATAAAGCGATCGAATTAATCTGATTCACAGGAAAATTCATCATGAAGCGATTGGATGTCGCGTGAGACAGGTCCAAGTAATACAGGTGACACTGCTAGCCTGCAGCTGAGGTCGTTCATCCAAGAGGTGATTTATCATTGTCTGAATTGTAGAAGTGCGTGATATTTTTTGTTTTTCTTCTGCTCTTACCTTGAGGGTCTCTTGAATCTTTTCTTCCTGTTAAACGAAAACCACGTTAATCGATTAGTTATTTGTAACGCATGCGCTGTCTGCCATCAGTGTGTTTGCAACACATGACCCACGCTAAATGATTGTTCATTATGTTGGGGAGGGAGGGGTGGGTGGGGTAAATTATTAAAGTAAATAATTCCAATCTCCTGAGGACTTGAACCTATTGTTTTGTCACCCAGATTGAGCTGCATTTCAAAGTGCTGCAAGGGGTCTATACCAACCTTTTACGTTTAAACTAARTTCAGTTCAGATCGATCGCGATCGACTCAGATCGATTTCTTGCAGGTGCTCGTTCACACTTTAGGTCTATTTTAGATCGATCTAGTTTAGATAGATCCGAGATCGATCCGAGCTCAGTTCTCGAGGGCGTTTACAGCTATAAACGACCATAAACGTACAAAAAGAACACAGGTAGTCTAACCAAAACCGTGTGAGTGCCAACATATCTAGAGGCTTGGAAACTAGTAAGGATTACATTAAACTATGGCAGATTTAGTTCCACTCTTTCCTCTCTTCTTTGCTCTCATTACGCTTTTCTTCCGTGAATTTTCCAGCATATTCATACTTGCTTTTAGGTGACAAAACGTCCTTGTCGTTCGAAGTTTTACTTTTTGACATCATTCACTAGAGTAGACTGTGTGTATGCTACTAGTAAGCTGCGATATGATGCAGAATATACACATCTATTGTGTATAAATAGGCATAGTAGACACTAGTAGACACTAGTAGACACTAGACAGTCAATAGACATCTACTGTGTATAGCAAATAATTGAAGCAGGTCAAATTTACTATGATGCACGTTCCGTTTAGTTTTACTAAACGCATCCCACATGGAAAGGAGTTAGTATGCTTTCAAAGCCATTAGCGTCACCATCAAGATTTTTGAGTTTGCTGGTCATAGCAAGGGGTTAATCATCTTTTGCAAGTAAGCTCACGATTGCCGATAGTTGGTGAAGTTTTTCTTTACAAGTCGGTGTAGAAATTCAAGTCCAAGATCTGAGATTCACAGTTCAAGATTCAAGGCTCAAGATTCTCAAGAC